GGGTGATAGTTGGTTAAGGGTCTTGCTCAGAGGCCCAATGGTGAAATCACTCTGCTGACTGTCGGATTAGAACTAGGAAACGTCCAATCCCTAGCCCAACTTTCTAGTCTGCTGAGCCCCCCCCCCCACCATCCTGCTGATGGAATGGCAATGCAGCCAGACATCAGTGCCTGGTGTTTATCACGAGGGTTCACAATTCAGAGGTATTTTCAGGTGTGCTCATTCTGCCAGGACTAACAGAGCGAAATCAAAAGGGAGCTCATGTTTGCCAGAGCAGAGGATTACAGTGTCATCAGTGAATGGCTTATAAATACAACAGTTCATCAAGCTACATTAATCGACAACACACAAATAAAACGGTGTCTTTTTAACTGTAGTAGTATGATTTGTGTAGTGACATGAGGGCACAATGTTTACAAAAATGAATTGTTTGCATTGTCACTGGAAAAACTAACATTTTAGAAAGCTTAATTTCCACCTTTAAACCAAAATGTCTGATCCCTCCCAAAATTAGTACTTATAAAGCATATTTCTATATTTGCTTTTTATTTGTTAAAACCTGGCAGACATATCAAAATAATACTGTTCCTCTCTGAAAATATATTGCATGTATTTACTTAATTTGCGTTAAATATAGCACTTTTCAACAGTTCACATTAAAAAAAAAAGAATTAGCTTTCATTAATACAGTTTAGACACAATGGAAACCAGAAGAAAAACATCGGTGGTAACAGCACGTTTTAGAGGATAAACATAATGACACTTTTGAAAATGCTCATTGCACTTATAATATGGCAATTATAACAGTAGCTTAAAAATAAGCTAAAGCTTCTTCAAGTCTCAGTCTTTTTTTTTAAAAAAAAAAAAAGTTAATTCCTCCTGTAGAACAAAGAATTGTCCGTGCTTTTTTTCTGGTTATCAGAGAGCTGTGGCAGGGCTAAATACCTATGCCCTTGATTAGTGAGGCCTCCAGGGTGATATTGAAGTCCTGTAAAGTTTGTAGCACTCGAATCAGAGAGTTCACCAGAGAATGATCCTTTAGCATGGCCGTGTCCTCATACATCTGTGCCGTGATTGGACAGTCTGCCAGGAGGGCGATCCAATGATGTAGCAGGTGGTCTCTAGTGGGAGGTAATTTCACATATTAGTGCCATCTGGCTTCACAAGACTAAAGCAGACAGTGGCTACGGGTTTAAAGTTTTCCATGGGGTAATCTGACGTCAATTATTATGTAACATCTCAGTTCTGTTGTACACACACTCATCTTTTTTGCAGTTTCTGGTGAGACTCTGCTAATTATTACATGTACGTAAGCATCCTTGCTAGATAAATATATGCCCACAGTCATAAATTTAGCTGGTTTTTATATCAATTAAACTTTTTCTTCAGCCAAACCAAGCTCAGAGCAGAGGGCCAAATGTGCTCAACAAAAGTGTGACTGGTGTACGGGTGTCTTAAAGCTCACGGTGCGCCGTTTTAACCTCACGTCTTAACAGAACGGTTGATGGCTATCTGTGAAAGCATTTTGCAGAAAATGAGCTATCAGGGTACGAGCGAATAGACAGGGGGCTGGCAGGGTGGCCGCCCTCCCCCAGCTCCCCCTCACATCATGTGGTTAGACAGGAAAGTGTAGGCAGGCTTGGGGGTGGGATGGTGCTCTTGCTGCTGTCAGGCTGCCTTCTGTGTAGGCAGCACAGGCAAACGATCCTCCAGTAGGTCAATAATTGTGCTATTATAACACTTTATATCGCTGCTCAGTTTCAAGATACTCCCCCTTGTTAATCTTTAACTATTTAAACTATTTAAATTATTTAATGTATTTATTTATTGTATTGTTTGATTTTATTGTGCTGTCGCGAACTTGTCGTATTATCATTTTGTAGTCTGCAAGGAGGGTGCACAAGGAAACGTTCGATTGTACTTAGTACATTGTGCTCTGTGCATGTGACAATAAAGGTTTGAATCTTGAATTCTTACATGAAACACGTGACAAAATAATAACCCAGTCTTAGGATATGATGCAAAAACTGAACAACTTAAGGGAAGAGTGTTGTGTTGTGGCCTCACCTGGCCCCCAGGCACACCAGCATCTGGAACTTCCCGTCTTTGCCGATGTTCCTCGGTGTGCTGTTGATAGCCCGCATGAAGCGGCAGAAATCCCGGGCCCTCATCTGCCAGTTCTCATCCAGCTCCAGGTCCTTCTGCTCCGGACTCTCAAAGTGACCCTGTGCCCTTTCTGCCAAGCGGAGTGTGGCACATGACACCGGTTACAATGCATCGGTGAGAACGAGCGATGAATTCAGGCTCGCAACTGAAAGGCAATAGAGGCGCTTACCTAAGAAGTCCCAGATGAAGATGTTCTTGAAGAGACGTGGGGTCCTGAAACCATGCAGGAAGACCTGCTCCAGTGCCCAGACCAGCCCATATTCTCCACACAGCAGCAGCGTCAGGCTGCTCCTCTGCACAGAAAGGCAGCACCATAGGTCACCCCAGAAGATTAACGCGCAGCAAGGTCGTCATCGTGAGCCAGCCTGTTGCTTCATGGCTGACGGGAAATGACAAATCCAAGAATCCACGGTCTCCTGAGTTCACTCACCTCTTTCTCTGGTTTGTGGAAGTGCTTGACGATCCCATTGATGGCCTCTCCCACTCCTTCCTGAATCTGTCCTGTGTTTAACTCTGTGGCAGGAGACAGTACCAGTTAAATGCATGTACACAGTGTGCCCTGCATTGTTTAAGCAAGGCCTGTGTGTCAATTTCATTTCTGTATTTTGGATCCTGTGACATATTTCTCAACAATAAAAAAAGTAACAGCAAAGCCTGACAGCTGACTGGCTACAAAGGCTTTTCCACTCATGCTGTGCTCATCCGTTATTGGTCTGACACTAAGCCCCTCCTACCCTAGCCCCGCCCCCCTTGTTTTTGATGTCCTTTCACACTCACTTGGTTTGCTGCTCGGTGAGATGTTGACAAACCTACGTATCATTCCAGGGGACTGCTGCATGGGAGGGGTGCGGCACAGGCGTTCCTCGCTCTCTGGGATGGGGGTCACCAACTCCCCCACCAGGACGCGTTCCAAACTGCCATCATCCACACTTTTACCCAACCAGCGGCCGCATGGAAACCTGGCAGAATTGCATCGCTGGGTTATTTGCACGGCACATGCCTTTGGTACGGATGCTATAGATCACGCACGAGCTGTAGAGTATGGAAGCTACTTGAGCAAAGTCTGCTCAGTGACAGTATTAACAATGTCAAGAAACCAATACACGTGTTTGTTTTCATTTTAATACTTAAATCTATTTAATCACGTTGCTTATGGAAGCATTTAACAGGCCACCTATAAGCCACTGTTCCTTAGCACATGGGGGGGTGGGGGATTGTAAAAACCGGCTAATACAACCCCCCCAAAAATCATGTCTCCCCCTAAATGGGTGGAGACCTCAAGCCCCCCAATGTTCAAACCAAATTTACTCCCTTGTCCTGACCCATGACCTACAGCCCAAGCAGGTCATTTTATCTCCAAGATATGCTCACTTTGAAATCTGATCTTATGTTCTGATATGTCAGTGAGACTTGGCCGGCAACTGGTGATATTTAAATGAGAAATACTGATTAATACAACTTGGAATAATCTCAGTCTGTCTGAAGTTTCATATACTGCCTGGCCAAAAAAAAGTCACCAGCTGAATTTAAATCTGCACGTACTTAAGAGCCAATGACTGGATCATTATTACAGCTCAGCAACGTTATGCAGCAATAAAGTGAAATCAGCTGAGTACCTGAATCTACTGAATGGTCAGGTTACACCTCCATCCATCATCAATGGATTTTTTCTTCCCTAATGCCATGGGCATATTCCAGGACGATAAAGCCAAGATTCATTGTGAAAGAGTTGTTCAGGGAGCATGAAGAATCATTTTCACACATAAATTGGTCACCACTGAACCTAGACGTTAACCCCATTGAAAGTCTTTGGGATGTTCTGAGTGGTTCAAAACAGAGTGGTTCAACAAACCTATCATCAGTACAAGATGTCAATGAGAAATTAATGCAAATCTGGATTGAAAAAAATGTTGAGATGCCTCAAACAAATGGAAACAATGCACTGACAATTGTGCACCATAATCAAAGCTAAAGGCGGTCCAATTAAATATTAAAGTGTATGACTTTCTTTGGCCAGGCAGTGTATTAGGTCATTCACACAAGTGGCAGCAATAGCCCGGATTTGGTGACCTCATGGTGTTGCGGTGTGGGACTTTCAGAGTAAGGCTGGTAGTCACAAACCTAATTATATGGCCCAACATGACCTTAGGGCTCCCATTCATCACACTTAATTACTCATAGACCAGGCCAAGAGCTTCAAGCATTCAAGGTTTTATTCCTGTTAACTAGTTGAATTGTGATCATCCATGGGTGCCTTACACTTCATTCGTCATTCGTGATCCCTGGCCAAAGATAACATGCTAAACAGGAGCAATTTCCTAGCAGAGTTTTACTTACTTGTACGTGTGCCCAGTGACCTCGTTCCTCACCATGACACACTCCACCAGCCACTTTGCATACAATCCTGAGTTATCGTGGCCCATCTGTACTGTGGTGAGCTTGCCCAGATTCTGGCACTGCAGGAGAAAGACACAGTTTCCGTCAGACACTTGTCTGATTCCCTGCTAGGCTTCCGTGCTCTTTCACCTCTTGGCATGGCTACTGGATTCTGTCTGTCTCTCCAGACCCCACATCAATTCCATCTCCAAGTCATCTGCAGACTGGTGGAAGAAAGCCATTGGCATCATCCGCCATCGCAGAGCATCTCCACGTTACGTGTGGACTGAACTCCCACATCAAACAAAGATCACATGGATCCACCCATGCACAGCTTTCAGATTGTTCTACTTGCAAGACAGTTTTCCAAGAATGCTGCAACAATAATCTCACACTGTAGCAGGTTTATGGCGTAATCACATGTTACTGTAGGTGGACTCCAAACATTAAGCAGCATTTACTTAAGACAATTACATCCCACGCTGCTACTGACTGTCGGTAGACAGGCCAGCATAAAAATGCGTGTAACATTTTCATGAATACAGACTTACTGTCTTGAAATCGTTTCGCATCTCATATGTTATACTGGAGCACATCCAGCAAGACAAATTCCTTTTATGTTTAACGTACTTGACCATATTGGTTTTCAGATTCAGACTGGTTCTGTCTTAAAGGTGAAGTCTCGATGATTAATGACGCAGATAGGCAAACAGGTTCCAGGCTCATTGCTCTACTAGGCATTGGTTGAGCTTGCTTTGAGTCTCACCCACCTCAAAGGTGATCTCCAAGGAGTTCTTGGGCACCTGGAGAACCCCTGTTTCCGACAGCTCTCCAGAGACGCAGACCCAGGGGTTGGCCGTGAACATGGACCCCCCGAGCTTCTTGCTTGGGATGACCACCACGTGGTATGGGATTACTGGTCAAAGGCAAGAGATCACATGCATCCGTTTAGAGCATCTTGGTGTTATATTGTAGAAACTACAATCAGCTTCTCCACAGGACAATGAGAAGGCAAAGACCCCAGGCTTTATTACCTAATTAGTAAATCTGAAGGACTTGATGGCTGTCAATACATTGGCTTAATGTTCAGCCTAACCTAGTGATCTGCAATACTTTATGATCTACCTGGGAAACAGTTTGTACTATATCCCAGCATATACCAGTCACATGACCTTGTGTTTGTTAAAAGTGTCTAGTGTACCCAATATCTGAGGCCTCAAACATCTCTTGATACCGCAATATTTCCAGTTCTCCATGTGAGCTAGCAGATGTTGACCCCTTAACGGCACACATGCTTGAATACAGCAGTGGTCCGTTGGCACTTACAGACGGTGGTGAAGACATTGGTGAAGCAGAAGTAGTCGACAGCATTGAAGGACAGGAGATGGTAGAGGAACTGCTCCTTCTCATCATCGCAGCGCAGGAAGGCGTACCGCTTGTACAGCTTCCTGCGGGTGCACAGGTGGGACCCAGCGATGCATGAATTCCCCAAGTAACGTGCTACACCGACCAGAAAGGTGCACAAACGTAACCCTGCTGTACAAAAGTAGCCAGAACTCTAACCCTAATGTATGAAGTCAAAGTGGCCCGAGTCACATACAAATATAAACTATTTTTTTTCCATCCATCCATCCCTCCCTCCCTCCCTCTATCCTTAACCACTCTGGTTTATTAATTCATTTCACACTAAATTCTTGTTCTAATGATCCCTACAACGCTCCAGCCAATCCAGGATGGAAATTAATCTGTTTTTAATTAATATACTTTTAACATTTTATTTCATTCCAAAGATTTGTGGCCACATTTACTTCAACAGCAGAAAGAGCAAACTGAATGACTTCCCCAGGTCCTGATATCAATCTGCAGACCAAATTCGAAGGTGTTTTTTAGAGGTGACACACCCTGGGAGTGACCCAGTTCACTGTGAAGGTCCCAGCACTTAATGAACCCCATTCAATATTTAATAGCGGGTTACAGAGTGCATACAGCCTTCACCTGGAAAAGCAGTTGGCAGACAGATGGAATAGAATGTATTTAACACAGCTCATTCATAATGTAGACGTTCTGAAATATTTCAGCTGTGCTTAATGCGAGTCTGAAGAGAATATTCAAGTTAATATATACTGAAAAGGAGACATTACATTTAGTATTGTTTTTAAAAAATTTAAGTTTAAAATTTGGATTGCCTCTAACAGAAACAAACTACACTAAGGGAACTATATACATGCAATAATTACAAAAAGGGATTTTCCATACTAATTATTATAAATATACTTTTACTTATCCAAATTACCCAAGCAAATAGAGTAGAATTTTATTATTCTCTATTATTCTATTCTATTATTCTCTGAGGAGTGTCCATATATTGAGAATCCAGCTTCAACCAGATGAAGCATAGATGCATGGGCCTTTTGTATCAGACAGCAGGTACCAGAAGGCCAGGCGATGCTCCGGAACATTCCGGCACCCGGGACACAGCCGTACCAGTTACGGGCGACTCACTTGGTGAGCTCCTGGTCAGACAGCAGCTGCTTGAGGTGCCTGGAAAGCATCTTCTTCTCCATGGTGAGGCGTACCCAGGCCCGCGCCTTGCCCACGTCCGTCTTGATCTCGCCGATGTTCTGGATGTGTCTGTGGCGGGGGCCCGGGGGGGGGGTGACAGAGCAGCTCAGTAATGGGTGCCTGGTAACTCCTGGTCTGCTCACGCCACTGCAGCCTTGCTCTAAGCATCTATGCCCAGCCCTGGTTCCTTGGTAGTGAACTAGGTCACATCCCCAGGGAGCTCCCGTCACCATGACAACGGGTGAACCTCCTCACAAGGACATCGCAGGGGGTGATGCTGTGTGTAAACTATATTCCGTGTTTGGACCATCCTTTTAAAGCCTGATTTTAGCATGGGGGGGGGGTTAGAAGTCAAGACGGGATCCCAGATCCCCGCAGCGCGCCTGGCTGCCCCCCCCCCCCCACCTCTGCCAGCGCGTTCCACACATCCAGATGCATTTGACTGCGCTCCCCCGTCTCACTGAGAGTCGTCTGCAACCTGGGTGCCTCCCGTGGCCCGTGCGCATTAGCCCAGTTTCTCACAGAAGCGTGGCAGCGCCACATGAGGCCCTCTGGATGGCACGACGCTGCTCCCTTTTCATAAACGCGTCATCGTCATTCACCCCAAAGCCCGCAACAGTGGCTGGGCACCAAGGATACGGGTAAAAGGATAGAATGCGGCCTGTAGCCTGTTAGCATGAAAACACATCAGCTGGACCGGCAACTACACAAGATCTAAAGGTTTGTGTGGAACTCCTCTGACACCTCTGTAGGGGGCGCTCTTTGGAGAGAGATTGTAGATGTTGAAGCTGTGCAGAGGTCGATTAGTTGCTTCTGGGGCCTCACTCAAAAAGTCACAAATAAACAGCAAGTGAGTAAAATCAGTAGATTGTAGTTAGCAGAACATGCTGCTTCAGAATGTCCAACATAAGCAATGTGTTTATTTATTACTTAGTGTAGTGACTGTTTGTGGCCAACAGGGGGCCTGATGGAAATGTGTGGTCTGAGTGAGGTAAAACAGTCTCAGTGTGGCTAAGCTAACGCAAGTGCACCCTGGTCCAGACAGGCCCTCCCGTCTCCCTGCAGGAGGTCAGCTTATTAGGGTGGAAGTAATAGACGAGTCTAAAGAGGAACTTCCTCCTTCCCCGCACTGCGCAGGGAAATCACCTCTCACTCCATGAGCAGACTGCACTTGCTCTACTCTACCCACAATGCTGTGCACTGTTTTGTTTACAGTTCCCTCCTCCCCCTGGAGCTTACAGTTGTTTTTGTAATATTGTCTTTTCATTAGCTTTGTGTCACTGGCAGATGAAATTACTTAACTCTGATAAACTGCGTTAGGAACAAAAATATCAGACTTCGATTCACCCTGGGTAATGCCTGATCTCTGTGCAAACTACAAAGACATACACAGAATAAAAACAAAGGATTGTCAAAGATATAAACCAGAAACATAAAGAGTACATAACAGGAAAGGACTCCACAGGAAAGTTTTTATAATATTTTCACAAACTGGGGATGTGGACAGGAAACAGTTTCAGATAACTTCAGCTTGACATGTTTGAGAAAAACATGATGGCATCATTGCGTGGAAGCTTTGATCGTTTCCGGCCCATTCCATCTCCTTTGTAGGGCAGCTTAGGCCACAAATAATATTCAGATTCCCCACCATTCCTGCACCCCACATAAACTATTCATTTATCTTATTCAGGTCAAGTGGAAACCTCAGGCAACAGTCTGGACATCATGAATCGTTTAGTGTCTGAGCTGTGGGTGGGAGACTGGCTTGGGGTGGGTGGGGTTAGGGTTAGTGGGGGAGGGGGCAGTTGGAGGGTGGTGCACTGCACTTACCGCATATCGTCAATGAGGGAAACTTTTAGAGGGGGCATGGTGAGTCCTGCATCAGACTTGCGTCTCTCCGAGTCTTGAATAAGCCCTGAGACAGAGGAAGTATACAGTGAAATAACTTCTCACACATGGGAGTGACAGTAAAATGCTTGCCTGCATTTCTAACAGCCCATCCTGCTGCATGCCTCCAGCTGGGGGGGGGTATGTTTACACACTGAAGAACCAGGCATCATTAATATTTGCACAAGACTATCACTTCAGCCTCCAGACCAGTAGGCAGCGCTCTGGCATACAAAATGAGGAATGACTGGTTCCAATGGCACAAATGTACAAAGAATTTTAAAATAAAAAAAAATGTTGCTTCCAAGATATTTAATTATTTAAGTAATCAAATAATCAAGAATTAATGAATACACACAATGTTTATTTTCTATTGATCTAGCATTCTCTCTTCTAAATTCTAATTAACGAATTTCATCAGGGTTATTAATTGATAGCATAAGTACCGTGAATATTTTTGCTTGCAGTATGTTTTCATGTAGAAATTACCTGATATTACTTGATATCAAGTGATTACACTTAAATCCATTCTTGCAATAATATGGGACCAGGATGAAATGGAAGGTCAGCAGACCAGCAAAGAGCATTTCAGACAAAGTGAATGAGAGAAAGCAGGATCTAGACAGGGCAGGATTCTGTGAGCCCTTTCGACACAGCGGCAGCCGCACGACAGTACCTGGGGGGTTCAGGCCTGAAGGGGTGGCATCACTCTTCTCTTTGCTTTCCTGGTAATGCAGCAGGTGTGACCACAAAGCCGATTTTCCCTGGCGGGGGGAAGGAGGCACAGCTGAAAGAGGCGTCTCAGACTGGGGGAGGGGCTTGCCTTTACAGAGCCCTCTGACGTCACCCGCGGGAGCCGACACAGCGGGGTCTGTCAGCCCCAGGACCAATCATCTGAGAGCCCTGCTGTGGCAGTGCCACATGAGCTCAGGCTCAAGGCCAAGGGCTCCTGGTTACAGTGCACCTCGTCCCAGGCGTACATGTGGGTGTTTGTCTACAGTGCGGATATTCTTACTCACTGTCTGCTGTTGTACACAAATGTATACACTATAGTCTGAAGGACTCGTGCAAAAAAATATCAGTGATACACAGGGTTTACAAAAGTGCTAATGCAATAAAGTGCCTTATACCTGAAAGTATTATTTGCACTTTATCTTTTCATTTATTTAATGTGTTCTTTAGTGCGTATCACTAGTATTTTTTCAGCTTACATGTTTTTCTCTATAAGGTGTCTTGAATAGTACAGGAAGGTAAATCTGAATTCTGTTATATATGACTTATGTAATGGTTTGTGGGACGGATTACTTATGTCAGCTGAAAACCGCCTGTACTATGTACGCATTAAAAAAATTGAATGTTGACTTATCAATAAAGGCTTTAGATTTAAGTTTCTTCAGATCTACCGCTTACTGATCCCGTCCTTTGCATCGCTCACAATATCTGTATCATATGTCGACATTGCACAATGTTTTTATTGCATAATGTGTTTACATATTCATTGTCATAATTGTACTCGCATTTATTGTCTTATTGACTGTTTAATTGTACTCTATTTTAAGCACCTTTATTTTATATTTGTGTTTAATTTATGTTTTCCAGTGGCGGGAAAACGATACAGAGAAACATCTTCAATGTAGCTGACTACTTACTACTTAGGTGTAGCTGACTACTTACTGTGTATATTACAATAAACTTTTAAACTGAGTAGGCTTTAGTAATTATTTCTTAAATCAGTAATCAATTACTGAAACAATATCCCATCATACTGCAGCTAGACCAATTTGTCAACATCATCTGGCATCTCCCTAGTTCCTACACTCCTTCCCAATGGTCTACCTGCTTGCCAACATGATCTGGCTCTGCTCTCTCTTACCTAATTACCAAAATTATCTGACTCAATCCTCTGCTCATTCTTGACAGTCTACCTGCTTGCCAACATTATCCGACTCGCTCCTCCACTCATTCCTGATGGTTTACCTGCTTGACCTGTAGCCCGTGGCTCCAGATCCGCTCCAGCAGGTCGCAGAGGCTGGCGATGAGCGTGTTCTCCTCCACGCCTGTGATGCTGACCTCCCCATGGCCCAACTCTACCGCCTCCCTGCCCATCTTCTCCACCAGCATGCGCTTGGTCTGCGGCACACCCAAGAGCATTCTTAAGGTCATCGTCTCAAGATGTCCCACTGCAAAGCTCAAACCCTCATCAAGACCATATAATCAACATCATCACTTTGACGCTGAACATCCCGGTGGACAAGACCAGTATTACACTCATATGATGATGTTGAAGATGCTGAAAATGCATACTACCTTGTTCCTGCATTCCTTCAGCAACCCTTCTACGAACTTCCAGTTGGTCTGTGCAATGACGGAGGGCGACAGGTTGGACAGCTTGGGCTGCCGGATCGTGGTGCCCAAGTTTCTGGCCTCCTGAATGTGCTTCTGCAGGGACAGGGACTTTGCTTAATCATGTCTTGAGAAAGTAGTGAGTGGGGGAAAAACAAGTAGGACCAATGTCTATAGACCTGAAGAAGAAAAACAATGTTCTTGCTCTAAGTCACGTCCTTTTCTGTTTAATTCATATTCCACTCAAAAATACCAAAATGTTTTGAATTTTATGAGTGCTTAACACAAAACCAAAACCGGAAAATCCCATTAACACATCAATCAAATAAAAATGTCCATCCTCACGGCAGACAATGATTAGTGGTGTCATCCCACATGACTGAGGAGGACTGCATTCCCACATTTCAGTATAGATGAAGGGGGGCAGGTCTGTGGATAGGCCCAGCCAATAAGAGCCCTCCTTATGACTGACTCAGACCCGTGTCTACTGCCAAGTGTCACTGGAGGTTAAAGGTCACAAATCTGAAAAATATCCATCTGCTAGCCCAGGGTTCTTCAAACCTGGACCTTGATTCCAAATACAGGCCTTGTTTTCAGTTCTCCCAGGTAGTTAGTTTAATAATGACTGATTCTGATTGGTCAGAGGCTTCACACCCGGCTCACAGGTAACGGAAGGCTGGAAAACCAGCAGGACTCGGACCTCGAGGACCGTGATTTGAATTCCCCCTGTGCTAAGCCTGTCGTCCTCTAGACAGCGTAAGAGTCCTAAAGGCTCTGGCTTGCTGCGGTGAGGTCTCACCTCTCTCTGGTCGTTATCCAGGTACAGGTGTTCCGCGTGCTGCTTCTGCTTGTCCCGCCTCCTCCACTGAGCTGCGGTACTGCGCTTGGACCACCTGGTGTGCAGCGGACAGCGCCGAAGCATCACTGCGATGTCACAACAGTGCCAACGTGCAGCGGCGCACACATTCACACTACGGGCAATTTAAATACACCAATTACGCCTAATTACATGGTTCTGGGCTGTCAGAGGAGGGGATACAACATCGGGGGAAGAGAGAATAGTGATATGTGACTCTTCCCCGTTGGGAAATTGCCGTTTCACATATCCCATCTTGCTCTCCATGAGATACACAGACACAAATATAGAAGTAAAGAGCAAAACTTGGGGTCTGAGCACAAGCATTTATCCAGCATCTCTGGAGCAATTGGAGGTTAAGGACTTTACTCAAGGGCCCATCAGTCTGCCAACCCTGGGATTTGAACCAACAACCTTCTGGTGACGGGCACAGCATCCTAACCCACTGAGCCACACACACAATACTTCTGTCACTTGGATGGCAGTTCCTACATTATTGTGCTGTTTTGGTCAGAGTGCCATTACCCAGCATTCCCTGCGGCCTTCGCCTTACTTGTTGCTGGTGGGTCCAGCTGAGAGCACGTCGGACTGCAGGCGAGGGAAGAAGCCGGGCTCGTAGCGGCCCTGGCCGATCTTCATGTCCAGCAGGTGGGGGTGAAGTGCCGTGTGGTCGATCTTGGTCACCCTCGCCTCGATGGCCTTCTCTGGGGGCAGGATGCAGGAAACGGAGTTAATGTGAGTCACATGGCCGTCTATGGGCTTCACTGGAGCCCCGGGACAACTTAAATTACCACTGAGAATGAGCAGGAGATTCACAGCTGCGTTTCAAATGCCCCTTTAAGAATGTATGGCTCCCCCTACCTGCACACCTAAAAATGACAGCCTAGTAGATTACCATCGCATTTCAGACTCATGTAGAATGCAGTGAGGATTTTCTAACCCTTATCCCAAGGGCCTAACAGTAAACCGCGACTGTTCCCACTGCTATTGTCATGCAGGTGTTACTGCAGTACGAGGGCCTGAATCAGCAGTACGGATTCTACTTCCAGACCATCAGACTTCTGAACTCTGATCAATGAATCCATTCTATTATCCCGAATCCACCACATCCTTACTCTTAATCATATGACCATTCATTGTATTATGTTATGTTATTTGCCTCAAATTTGCACGCTATTTATTATTGCTATGCTGCAGTAATTAATACTTCCTATTTGCACTATTCATTTCTATTTGCACTCTCGTCATTGTGATTTGATCTGATATGATTATGCTGCCAGCCGCAGGGTATGAACCCATGACCTTCCAGATGTGGGCACAGATCCCAAAGCCACCAAGCCGTGCGTACCTGACTCTTCGGCGTTGGTGCACTTCTGGTACATGGACGTCCTCAGCGTGGGCGTCCGCACGTTGAGCATGCGCACCTTCTCCACGCGGGCGTCGAACACCCGCAGCGCGTGCTCCTTGTCCTCGTCGTCGTGGCAAAGGATCTTGCTGTCGACGAAGGAGGCGAACGTCTGCGTCTCCAGGAAGCGCGACAGGAAGGGCAGGTAGGGCTCGGGCTGGTCCGACAGGAAGGAGGCCTAGGGGGCGACATGGAGCACTTGATTATAAAACAGTGTGGAAGTATTGAGTGACCTGGTGGTGCTTCATCCCTGATAATAGAAATTGGACTTCGGTTTCAGAACCCGCTGACTGATCAAGCATCCTGTTAAAGCCTTTCCCAAATTCCGATTCCTGATTGCTTCCCTGATGTTGGCTTTTGTTTCCATTTTGTTAAACCCACCTCCCCCCTAAATATAGCCCCCGTCCCTTTCTCCCATCGCATGCTCACCTATCTGCCCACACCCTGTACTGTACTTCATGCTGCGGTTAATATTCTGCTTTTGCACTGTAGCAGTACTATAATACTTTTGTGATTACTTGCACATCCTTGGGACTGAGTGGTGGCGCTGAGGGATCTGTACTGGTAACTGGAAGGTTGCTGGTTCAAATCCCGTGAATGCCCAGAGTAATTCTAGGTTGGGCCCTTGAATGAGGCCCTTAACCCGCAGTTGCTTTGTCCTGGGTATGATGTTAATCTACATCCAGCCCTGTGAGGAGGTCCTCCAATTTACAGGGAAAAACTTGGGGGTTGGTGGCAGGATGAGCTCTCCAGCCACTGGAAAAAAACTCACACTGGTCATTTCGGACTGCTGAGGTGTCACCTGACACATGGCTGCACTCAGGTTCTCATCCCCGAGGAGGTTTGTCATGTAGTGGGTGCAGTAACGCACTGTATCAGTGCACGCTCCTTACACACTGTATCAGTGCACGCTCCTTACACACTGTATCAGTGCACGCTCCTTACACACTGTATCAGTGCACGCTCCTTACACACTGTATCAGTGCACGCTCCTTACTGCATATCCCCATTAATTATCTATTGTTCACTGTCTTTTATCTTGGACTGTCTTGTCCTTTTCTGCAGTGCTGTTTATTCTGTTGTACCCACCATGCATCTGCCATCATCCAGCAACTGGTATAAGAATTTCACAGTGTCCCTCTAAACAGACATAACAATAGAATTTGAAACTTGAAAACCTAGCTTTTTTAAGGTATGAGCTGCTTATTTAAATTTCAGATGAATTAATTTCAGGTTCCTCCCCTCCCTCTGACCTGGCATGACAAGACAGAGTGGTTATCTCCCAGCGATGCAGTGCAGCTGTGTCTAGATGGGCACTCGCCTTGTCAAAGTTCTGCATCTGGTCACGGGTGCTGAACCATGACTCTTTGTCCTGGCTGGATTGGATGACGAAGACCTCGTAGTCGGCGAACATTTGCGTGAAGCGGTTGGCGAAGACCTCGCGCATGCGGATGTTGAGCAGGTGCGTCCGCAGGTCCTCCTCGCCGCACTGCACCCTGGGATCGCCGTTGGTGCCGGAGGTCTCCATCCCATCCAGCTGGAAAAGCCGGAGGGAGCAAGGGAGAGAGAGGAAAAGAGAGAGAGAGAGAGAGAGAGAGTCAATGAGAGGCTAAGCAGAACAATAAGCCATCACTTTTCAAATTTTATTGCAGTTGAGGCACATTTATAGTTACATTCATTACACTTCAATACATTTAAAAACTTATTTGACAATTTGAGCCAAATTAAACAATTATCTTGGTAATGTCTAAAATGAAATGAGAGCTGGAGAGAAAGAATAGAGATGCAAGGAAAGAGCGATGTATAACGAGGTAGTAAGACAGAACAGTACAAAAAAAAGAACAGTAAACAAAAAGAATTACAGTCGCCTGAAGGGAAACAGCTGGGCCCATAAAGCTGCCCATCACTACACATCTGTAAGGAGGCGGAGTCGTCTCAAGCTGCCTGGCTACTCGCCAGCATTAGTGCAGCAACAGCAGGTGCCAGTTATCAGGGATACTTTTCATTCATCCCCCTGCTGTCCTTCAATGGTAGTGAACAGGGCTATGAACAGACGAGGACTCGTTCACATTAAGGTCACTGAGCTTAACTCAGCCGGAAGTGGCACCCAGTAGTACCCAGTGGCTCACGCTGCTCTCATCCCCGACCAGTATAAGCGGTTAGAAGATGAATGGGTACAGCTGTTTTTTCTGCATTTTGGGAATTTACTATTAATACTGTACAGCTATATTGGAACGTGTTTTTGCACATCCTATCTTGCTCTGCTTTGTGAAACACACAGGTTAGAGCAAAGCTTGGGGACAGAGCCCAGGATCAGTCATGCATTCAGAGAGCCTCTGAAGTATGTTTAAGGGCCCAAAAGAGATGTGGCTACTCTGCCAAACACAGGAGTTGAACCAGCAACCTTCTGATAACAGGCACAGAGGCCTAATCCATGTAGCTTCCAAGAAAGTGCAAACCACAACAGCCCAACAAACGATGCTCATCATCCTCTGAGTTATGGGCCCTGCATGCCTCTTCTGTGCCCCTCTGCTCCACGTCCTCTCATGGTCTCTTTAAGGAGTCCACAGTGATATCACGGAAGAGCACCCCCCCCCCCCCCCCCAACAGACATGTTACCTTCTCCAGCCTCACACCGGTTCGTTTGACCAGGGCCTGCAGCCGGACGATGGTCTCGTTCTCCTTCAGCAGATCCAGAGGCGAGCCGGCCAGGTTGCCATTGCGGCGGTCCGAGGCCACGTCGCAGCCGCGGAAGCCCCTCGGCCCCCCCACGCCCTCGCCGCTGCACGCTCTACCCTCGGGGGGGATGCCAAACAGCATCAGCACCTCGCAGATCTCCTGGATGAACTCCAGCTTGTTAGGGAACTGCGGCAGATCCTCCGGCAGTTCGATGAAGTGGTTGTCGATGTCAACAAAGCACAGGTTGGCCTACAGAACAGTATTAGTACAAGTTACTAGTCACTGTTATCGATGTGATACAACAAATCCAAGACCAGGATCCCTGCATTTCTAATTTCCTCCAGCAGGTGGCAGCTCACAGTTAAAGAAGAATGTTAAGTCAGTTATACCAATTCTTCATAGCAATACTTCATAGAAATGTTCCTTGAAAAAAGAAACTAATTTTTTGGTAAATCAGTGATTCACTGTGACATACTAGGTTTGTTATTTGTATTTGGCTGAAGGGCTAATATTTGGGTGACTGCAGGTATTACACCATTAAAGAAGTCACTCCAATGTAAATGAGTCAGTACGCTTTTTATTTATACAAATAAAAAAAGTTCATATCACACCCTGGCTTAGGGTATTTATCTCTTTGGAAAGACACTGAATAACAGTATGGAACCAAACAATACAAATGAGAATAACCTGTAGTCCACAAACATGTATTAACCTGCAGTTAACGTGATCTGCTGTTCGTTATCCTCAAGGGTAAAAACGGGTTAAAGTGTCAACATACACACCCTGCTGGCAGGACTGTACCAATTCCTCGTTATTCTATGCGTTATTGAATTTCTAGGGCAAATATATTTACAGAACATAATGGAGAGTGGCTGCTTATCGCGGCGATCGTGCAGAGAAGTCACGCGGCTAACGCGCGGGAGCGTCATTCTTAGACTCAGGTGCGCTCATCGCAATCAGCTGTGATGGGGGTGTGTGGTGCTGGACTGGGAAATAACAGCCACATGAGGCATCTGTGAAGGCATATCTGATTAAATGGGGGGGGGGGGGGGGGGGGGGCAGGTACTTCAGAGTTACTGTCCAGTCATTACTGATATTTATCAACCATTATCGCTGTAACTTCAGCACCTTGCTGTCCTACCTACTTGTATGTAGTATATATATTGCATGTATATTGTCAATATACTGTATGTTATGTATATTGTGCGTATACTGTACATATAGTAGCATTTTGTATATTGTACGTTTGTTTAAGGTATACTGCATATGTCGTATGTATGTTGCATGTACTTTATTGTTCTTGTTATTCTGTTATTTGATATTGTTCTTCCTCGTTATATGTCGTTTAAGTCAGCAGGGGGGAGGGCAAGCGAGCGGTTCACTGTACGTGTACAAGTGACAATAACGCTTTGGAATCCTTTGAGTCTTCGAATCTCTGAACAGCAGGGGGTGTAATGGGGAGATTGACATGTAGATAAAAGACAGAGAGACGGAGAGATTCTTGGGTGAGTCATTAGGATAATTACCCAGAAGTACAGTACATCGCACGCTGCAACCACGAGGTTTTCTGTGTTTGTCAAAATGTCAAAATTCTGGGCACTTCTAGGCTGAGTAATAGATTTCCCGAACAGAGAACAGATTTCTGACTGATTCTATCACTGCTGTCAACACTGATAGCATCTCAAGGGATTCATTTTGACAACCCAAGTTCAGGTTTAGATCACAGAAGCACCTTCCTGATGTATCTTTGGGTGCAGAATTTAATGTCCATCATTTTCGATAGTATCAAAGTGCATTGTCGGAAACGTAAACCATCAGAGTTGCCTGGAAGAGAAGAGAATGGGGGAGATTGATGTGGAAAACGCAGAGAGGAAGATGAAGGAGAAGCATCCCACTGTTCTCGTTCCTGGACCTGGATAGCTAACACTAACGTCAGACAACTAGGAGACGTTAATGGCAAATGGCACACTCTAGGTGCTGGGGCTGGGTAGTTGTTTCTAGGGCCCACTGAAAAAGTCACTGTGCGTCACCCTCCCGGATGTTTGGAAAACGAAAAACGGCTAGTGAGTAGAGTCAGAAGATCGTAGCTAGCTAGGTGGTTAGCAGAATACGCTGCTTCAGGATCTCCAATAGGGAACGTGTTTATTTAATATTTAGTGTATTGATGGTTTGTGGCCAATAGGGGGCTCCATGCAGATGCGTGGTGTGTGTTGGTAAACACCCACCTCCTGGGGCAGCTCCAGCTTGGATCGGTCATCCTGACCGTTGGAGTGCAGGCCCATCAGATAGGGTACAGGCGCGTCCAGGAAGTGCAGCAGCGAGGCGGGCAGGATGGGCACATAGACGTGCTGCCACTGGAAGGGGAACATCAGGGCGGTGATGCTCTCGGCCACCGTCATCAGCCTCTGGTAGTCTGCGGGAGACACGGGAAGCAGGGATCAGCCAGAGCTCTCCGCATCCTTCACTGGGTCTGCAGAAGATCAACGTCCCTCAGTAACAAAGACACGTGACTGCTTCTCAACTCACCAATTCTAACAGTTAAACATATATCAATAACTAAAAAACAGCTTTTTTTCGTACATTATTCCTATTTACATTTATTCATTTGACAGACACTTTTGCCCAGAGCACCATACAAGTGCGGATCGCAGAGTATGGTCAGCCAGTGTCCCTGAAGCAATAGGGGTTAAGGGCCTTGCTCAATGGCCCAACAGTGAAATCATTCTGCCAGCCATGGGATTTGACCCAGCAACCTTCCGCTCACAGGCAGAGCTGCACAACACCCACATATAAATTTTATAATTCTGTGCATTAATTTTGTCTTGGGGGTTTGGTATTAAGTCATTTGTAGATTAAAGTTCATAGAAGTCAATTCATATTTATTTGTATCTGAAATCAGTTGTAGGTGGGGCAGTGGCCTCACACCCCTAGGGTTGCGGGTTCGACTGCTGCCCCCAGCTCTGTGTGTGAGGAGTTTGCACGTTCACCCTTCGTTCATGGGGTCCTCTGGTTTCTTCCAAACAGGGAGGTTGGGAGGATTACTGCCTTTACATTTTCCAGTTCTGGTGACTACAGCTGCATGCTACATGTTCTACAGCTGGACTGGCATCTTATCCAGGCTGTCACATGCCCTGTCACATGCCCTGTCACCTGCCCTGTCACATGCCTTCCAGGTGGTTACAGGTAACGGATGCATTCATTGGCAAGTTTGTGTTCTTTATTTAATTATATTGGCATTTTATAAATTCTTGCTGTCATAGCGAAAAATTTCAATATGTCACATAAGTAGCACTTACTGTCTGCGATTACTGAATGTGTGCCGTCAAGCGCTACGGGGAAGATAAACAAGGCTACTTCTTACTGGAAAACTGTCAGACCGAGAGAGCCCGAGTGCCCCAAACAGAACCACTGCAGGGCTGACAGAAAAGCCCTCAATCAGGATGCTGCACGGCCAGCAAATGTAAACAGTCAGGGTCCATGCAGGGTTATATGGTGGCCAGACTGCCAGTGTGGGGGAGGGCTAGTATTTGGGGTGTCATTTCTCATTTTATATTTTGTTGTTTTGAGTTATTTGCCCCCGTGGTGATAAAAAGGAAGCAACCTTTTCAATTAAATTACAAAAAAAAAAAAACAATTTCTTATTATTACTTTTTCAATTACAAAAATCATACAGTTAATATTCTAAATACAGAATACGTGATCTTTTGTTTGGTTTCAAATTTGTGCTGTGTCTAGTTAAGGAGTGAAGAAACGTTGCTCTTATGCTTGGCCATTTGTGTGCCTGAGAAGGAACAGGCTGATATAGAACTGATACGGAATAGAAGTGTGCGAGATGGATTTATGTATTTTTGAAATACAAACTACAGCATTTTATTTTGATACTTTGCTTGGTGGCTGTATTTTAGTTTATTCTGATACACTTTCAAGTATGGCGTTTTGTAATCTGTATCAAAATATATTTGGATGTATTGTTGCCCATAGTGAAATACAGACAGCAGACTGGGTACAGCTGTGGTCTCCTGCTGCATTTCCCCTCCCCTTCTTCCCATTCCTGCTTCCCCACTCCTATTCCATCCTCCCCCTTTCCCACACACTCCTCTGGCTCATCATCCCACCACCCTTTACCCATAATTCCGCTCGCTGCTCGTCGCTCAGACATTCAGGCGATGGCTCCCTGTTTAGGATTCAGAGGGACGGGCTTCTGGGAGAATCCGGGAGTGCAATGCTAGTCTGGGCTCTCGGAACGCAACTCCTCCTCGTGGGGGTGGGGAGGGGGGGGGATACACAACGCTGTCTGGATCTGAGACGCTCCTTATTTAGGCAATGAAATGAAGGAGACATGGAGATACATGTCAAGGACTTGGCTGTGGTGGCAGCATAGCCACCATCATGGTCCCACCCTGGTTTCACTGAAGGGACGCAGATCCTCCAGGTCCTAATTCAGTGAACGCCAATATGCCACAGAGCTGCTATATATCCAGCAGTGAAACCAGGGCTAATGCCTGTCAATCAAAATACACCTGCACACAGGGGCAGGTTCGCCCCCCCTGTAGTGACTGTATTTCACCAGCAGAGGGCACTATGCAGATATCTGGTTTGCCTGATGGTAAACACAGCTGGGGTGAGCACTTGGCAAAGATTTGTGCTGTTATTTGTGCCATGATTGCTGCCCTATGAATTCTGCTTTTTAATTCCAACTGGCGTCAGTACAGCGACAGCCCCTGCATATTAAACTCTGCTGTCGGCCCTCCCCGATAATCCCTGGGGGCTTAAGCCCCATGAAGACCCTGCATAAACTGTGCAACATTTAAACTTCTGGGGGGCGGGGGAAAGGGAGCGCATGATGTCATCTCCAACCAATGATATTTACGCTCCATCAGTGACATCCTCCCCTTTTGTAGATTGTTGCTGAGCAACAGCCCAGAGATGCACCTGAAAGGCCTGCCCACGTTCCTTGGATTAACCCTTCGGGGAGGCGGTGGGTCCCGTGTGCTCACTTTATTAATTTAGCACACGCTTTTTGCCCGAAGTGATGCAAAAGTGAGGCTGACAATACATGAGGCGAGCGAGTCTCTTTTTCAGAGCTTAGAAGCAGCTGGACGAACTGCAAGATGAATGAGCTCTGATGCATGGCACTGGATATGAGAGACCTTAAAGGCACAGAGGGCTATTTTCCACACAGTACACCTCAAAATAGCCCTAATCTGAGAACTAATGCAGGCATTCTTTCAGACTTATGGCACAGAGTGATCTGTCCCTAATCGAATACAGTCACTATTATACTCCTTACATTTCAATGAATGCTATATTAACTGATGACACGCAGCAATATCGAAACTGGCGTTCACCATTTTCATTAGAAAGTCATTACAAATTCCTGCTTATTAATAATGAGGTTTATCTTACTAAGAATTCCGGTCAAATTAAATCCAGTAACTATGTTAATGACATTTTTATTGGGGGGGGGGGATCTTGGTTTTTAATTTATATATGGGAAGCAGTAAAACAACCCTGTTGAGGATGGTAGCATAATCAGAGGTATAATCTTTGGTATTGAGGGCGCTAATAGAGTTAGCCCTCGCTGCTAGCGCTCGTTGCTGCCAGGCAGGGAGTTAGCTGTCTGTGTGATGAGGGCTGGGGGGGGGGGGGATGACAGTGCAGCAGATCCCAGGCACACAGGAGGGGAGACTCGCCCCAGTGCCGATTATCCTACATGCCGCTCTGATGATTCTCATCCCTCCTTTTGGAAGGATGATGTCACCGGGGTGACAGAAGCAAACACTGCAGGACCTTAAAGTCCTGGACCCCAGTACGGGATGGAGAGAATGGAGCATGAATCACCGTGGGTTCAAATGTGGGGTGGGCTGGGGGTCACTATGGGCACTGCTCCTGTTGCTAAACAAGTATAGCATTGTGCTAAAAAAAAATGCAAAGGTTGTGGGTTCAGATCCCAAGGAGTACAGAAATTGTAATACTTTCGATGCACGCATCAGACAAATGAGTAAATCATGAGTATGGATTAATGTTAGTATGGATTACAATGTGTTGGTTTATATCAATAAGGATTAAGTTCAATATCGGCTTGGGCGAAAAGTGTTGTGTACGGCACGAGACAGTGTTGAGCTGACATCTCCTGTAGAGTGATCAACTGTCATCTCTGGGCACATAAGATTGAGGTCAAATTTGTTTGACCTTGTCTGAGCAGAAAAAGGAATGGATATTGAACCTTTATCCTGAAAGCCCCTATTGGGGTAGTCAGTCCCTTTCAATTCACCTTCAATCTGGACACTTTAATCACCTCCGACCAGGTACACATGGTCAGATATGTTACTCACCTCTTTTCCAAAAATTTCAAAGATGATTCCTGGTGCAGCAACATAATAAAAATCTAACCATCCCAAATCTACCCATCACATCTTAAAATTTAAGGTAATTTTCCATAATCCATCTTATCCAGCACAGGATGTCCATTAACCAGAGGGCAAAGGACACCCTGGATGGGATGATGGTTCATCACAGACAGGGTGCACAGACGCACGCTGTAGGCCACGGGTGTCAAACTCCAGTCCTGGAGGGTCGGAGCCCTGCACATTTTTGGGTTTCCCCTCATTTAACACACCTGATTCAACGCCTTTCAACTCCTTGTGCTAATTACCACATGGCTCTTGAGCTACACAGGGTCCCAGCCCTCCAGGACTAGAGTTTGACACCCCTGCCCTAGACTATGAAGGAAACCCTTGTAAACTCCTCACACACTGGGTGGGAATCAAACCCACACCAGGAGGAGATGTGAGGCAACGAAAAATATAGTTACCTGTGTGCCCATGCTTTCGCCTATATGCCATTCCCCGAAAATTAAACACTCACACTAAGGGCCTCATTTAAAAAAAACATCTGAATATCTCATAGAAATTAGAAATTCAATGCTTACCACTTATCATACAATATTCCATGAACAATTCTCAAAAACTTTTGAAATCAAAGCGGACTTAAAAGGTAGCCATGAGGAACCGTGAAATAAGAAATGGGCAGAGGTGGAAAGTTCAGGTCCAGAAAGTACAAATCCAGACCAAGATTTTATTCCAACCAACCAGTTAAGTACTGTGTGACTGTAACTCTTTATACTCAACAGGTTGGTTGATGGTCTGGATTTGCACTTTCTGGACCTGAGCTTTCCATCTCTGAATATGGGTGCTAGAGGGGCCTACTGAGGGACTCACGCTGGGAGTAGAGCAGGATCTGGAACTCCAGCAGGGCGCAGGTGAATAGCTGCAGCACGTTTTCCACGCCCAGGAGCTCGAAGACCTCGCCGATGGGAAAGTCGAAGAGCGGCAGTTCGACGGTGCTGGGCCGCTGACACACCACGGGCCCGTAGACACCCGAAAACTTAAGGGAGCGCCCGGGAGGCGGCAGAGGCACCTCGTAGAGCACGTTGTAGATGTAGCTCTCCAGGGGCAGCGGCGGCGGCTGGGCGGAGGTGACGGCGCGGTACAGCTGCTGCAGCACCTGGCAGCACGCTTGCGGAAAGGCCATGGGCGCCAGCAAGCAGATACACTTGGAGGCGAAGAGCGTGTCCCGGCCGATGTCGTAGGAGTCGAAGCGGCGAAGGCGTGGGACGTCGTGCCGCTCAGCGTTGTGCATGTGGTAGAGCGTCTGCATGGCGCCGCAGATCTGCTTGCTGATCACCTCCTCGTAGAAGGTGAGTGCGAAGCCGTACGTGCGCGAGCCGTCCTCGCGGGTGATGATGAAGGAGTGGAAACATGGCTCGCGGGCGTCTGCCTGCGTCCGGAATGACAGCCCTTTTGGCATACAGAGCTGTGGGACACACGGGGGGGTCAGCACAGACTTACCATCAGGACTCCCCCTTAAATTACCATTCATGGTCAGCAGGATACTATAAAACAAGACTATCGTATAATACACATACGATATATGGGGATAAGACAAATGTTCTCAGGAACCCAGCTATCCCAAGTCCTGTCCAATAATAGGCCTGAATTATGGGGTCTGGTCTCAGTTAACTACTTCCAAGATTTTTTTTAAATATGAGGGGACACCCCCTTAGCCCGATGCCCCCACCCCCCAAGGCTGCGTCTCACCATGCCCACGGCGTCTTGGTCAAAGGGACTCCACTCCACATTCTCAGGGTAGTGTGCTAAAACTTTGGATTTGAAGGTCCTCCGTAGTGGACTCTGCTCAAAATTCTCACCTGGGGGGGGGGGGGGGGGGGGGAGGGGGTTACAAAAAAGAGGGATCAGTGTATGTGTATGGGGGGTGGGGGGGGTGGGGGAGCACAATCCAAAGCCCACACCAGGAGGGTTGCGGTGGAAGCAGGGGGGGGGGTGCAAGTGTCCAATCAGAGGCAAGCGTAGGGTGTAAGGTGGTCCACGGGCAGTAAGAAGACTGGCATTAAACGGGTGTGAAGGGCATATTGCAGAAGGAGCTGCCACCCAGCAGACTCAACGTGTGAGGTCACACAGAGGGCACATGCGACTGACGGTAGTGAGCCAATCAGGAAAGGGCTTACAAAAAATTGCATCCGCAAATGAAGCGTTTTCACCACGTCGAGTGGAGAAATGAGGGGAATAGGAACACGGACCTTTTCTGGGGCCTGGAAATAAACAGGGTGGCAGCCATTACAGCAATATGGTGGAAAAAACAACAATAAATCAGCCAACCAATCAAAAAAAAACGGCAAATTATAATAAGGCGCCGGGGACATAATCAGAGGTGCATGGGTGTTCTTGGTAGAACATACAGGTCATTCGGGGTGAAGGGGGTGGAACAGGGGGGATTCCTGCTGGCGGAAAGGTACGACAGGCAGTGATCGCTGTTCGGAAGATGTTGGAGTAGGAGGAAGAGGAAGGGCCCTTTATGTCCTCAACGCCGGCGAGCTTGGCTCATCTCATAATTAGGCAACGCGGCTGTAGAAGTAGGGCAGGGTCCATAGGTTAAAGGTTAAGGGGGCACAAGCAGAGTGCAGAGGGTTCCAGTGTAATGAAATCAGAGGGTACAAAGGTGTGGGGGGCGGGGGGGGGGCATTACCTGTCTTGTCACTCGACGACAACTGTGTGGCCCCATCACTCAATTTAGAAGTCTGTAAATACTGGTATAAAGCTACATAACAGATAAAACAACAGTTAATGAGCTGCCCAGGGCATCCGTGCAAAAGCCCAGCCACAGCGGGAGTCTCCGCAGATGTGGGGAACCCAGCACTGGCTGAGCCGTCTGGGAACGAAAACCGCTCCCGGCGACCAGCGTTAATCCCTCAGTCACTCTGCGCTGATTAAATGAGTACAGATACGGTCACTAGGATGGATTGAATTAATAAAACTCCTTTCAAAGACTGCAGTACACTGTGGGCTAATCACATGGATTATTCCCAAGTTGCCAGCTGACAGATTTCTCAAAAATCATAATGAATAAAGCGTTGAGCGGTGGGGTGGAATACGTCTGGACCGTAGTGCTCCAGGGGCATTGAGCGAATCACAGCAAAGCGTCGCCAGGAACCAGTGTAAAAATGACACACGAGTGCGAGGAGGCAGGAGGATACTGAGAGAGGTACAGGAGCGAGGAGGGAGCACGGCTGGAATCGGTGATCAGGGGTAATATGGTGAGATATGACAGGAAACAGGAGGTCAGAATAAGGGGGAAACCCAGAGAGAGGGGAAAGACTCACTGAAGTGTGGAAATGCCTGACTCTTGACCTTTGAGTAAATCCAAAGTTCATTTTCAAATACTTAAAATGCTCCTTATCATGATTCTAAAAGGGTTAAAATGTACCAGAGAGGGAGAAATGAAATCATGGATGCTGATACTGTATGAGTCACGGTGGTATTTGCAGTGATGGGGAGGGGGGTGGTGGTGATCGAACCGTGCCAGGCTCTGAGCTGGACCCGCTCCCTCCCCCATAGCAGAGCGACACTCACGTCTCATTTGGACTTTTGTCCTGACTCACTGGCACCAAGCACAACCTCGCAACCTGCCCTGTCACATGACCACACGCCTTTCTGGGAGATTTACATCATGATTCCTGGACTTCCGGAAGGCGCCCCCTACCTGATAAGGCCCGCCCCCGGAGCCCACCCACGCACAACACACTGCGGCCCATTCACTGCCCCGCCTGCCACCGGCTCCGCCCACTCCTGGCTCATAGGCCTTAGGGAAGGGACCCTGGGGGTCGTTGCTAGATCACGAACAGCACCATTTGATGTGCTCTCCGCCCCCCCAAGTTAAAAGACGCCAGTGTAACATGGTCACATGGTATCACCAGGGGGCGCTGCTCCAGAAAGAGGGCAGTGGGGGAAGAGTCATATCCCCTGTGCTGCCAGGAGAACGGTAATCCATCTCCGATGATCGCATTGGCTCATTCGGCCGAGGCTTCGAGTGTTTCTGCACGCTGAGACGGCCATATGTCTAAGGACACCTCGGAAATAACCTCTCACGTTCACAAAGGTCTGGTGACGGCCACGCGCCTCCAAACAGAAAAAGACAACTCTGCATTTTTAGATCAGCTTGAGTACAAGACCCTGGCAGACCAGCAGAACAAAAATGGCCGATGTCGGGGGAGGGTCATACATCAGCCATGACTGACCTTTAATATACACAGTTTATGCAGTGTCAGTTAAAGCATTTCCTGGTTGTGAACTGTGGCTCCATTTCCGCATAGTCTGGCAGGCGTGAGATGCAGTGTGTCGGGAATATGTCCCCCTGGCGTGGAAAGCCTTTCAGACCAGGCCAAACAAAGTCTGTCCTGCCTCATTCGGCCTAAAGAAAGGCTCGATCCACGCATCCACAATGTGACAGAACGGTACATCCACATCCACAATGTGACAGAACGGTACATCCACATCCACAATGTGACAGAACAGTACATCCACATCCACAACAGTACTTTGCAGCCAGTTTTATCCAAAACGACATACAGATGAGAAGGCAGGGCCAGTTGGGGGTTAGGGCCTTGGTCAGGGGGCTATCAGTGAAATCACTTTGCTGACCCCGAGATTTGAACCGGTGACCTTCTGAACACAGTGTCCTAACCCTCTGAGCCATGCTCCACCAAAAGAATCAGGTGAGCAAATTCTGACACATTGAAATGTAAAAGACAGTGTTGTTACCAGGGAGATAATGTGCAGCATTCATGCATGATCAGAGTTGGTGTTATTCTACAGATTTCTAATTTTCTCAGGGACCGATATCTTCTTCATTAACATCAATGCTGAACAGTGGGCTGTTATCTTCAAGGTGTCTATTAGGTGTTTGTACCAAACAGAAACAGGTCTAGCTTGAAAAGAGCAAGTTGGTGAGATCAACTAGCTTCGGAAGACACATTTTAAATAACAAAATAAATAAACGAACTGGCGGCAAAGCAAGTGAGCTTGTTTCAGGGCGAATGGCCGGACAAATTCTAATTCTAATTCTAACTTTCTATTACCAGAAACTTTGAAAGATGTTTTGCGTTGGGCTACATAACCAATATCTTCATTCAAAAGCCATCCTAAGGTCTGGTGACTAGCAGAACCTTGTGGAGACTTAATACATACATGTGTATTTATGCAAACTGGGTCAGTGGAGTCCAATTACAGCGTAACAAGGTAATCAGAATGAAAATGAATCAGAACCCTCCGCCTAACAAGTTTTTGTCCGGCTGTAAAACGAGCATGTCATATTGTAATGAGCGTGGGGGAGGCTGCACTCACGCACTCATGCAAATGTGATAATTTATGGTCCACCCCCACCCTGCTGTACTTGGTATATCCCATCTACCCACTTGTCACACACTTCCTGTAGCCTGGCATCAGGAACACTAGGGGGGGGGGGTCCCATTACACGTGAAATCCCCAGATACGAGTGCCGAGCTGACGCATGGCGATGGTGACGCACTGCCCCGCTGCCATGACGACGCCTTGGGTGCGAGACGACGTCCTCCAGAAATCCTACGGCAGAGAAGCGAACGTGGGCGGCAACAGAGGGTGAAAACAAAAGAGGAAGAGACAGGGGGGATGACGTCCACCCATCGCGGGCAGTTAGGGCGCCGGGGGGGGGCCTACGGCCACCACCTACACAACAGAGTGCTCACTGAGCTGATCTGGAGTAGCAGCGAGTGGGATGTCCCATCTGACAGCAGGCGGGGATGCAACTGTAACTCATCGCCGATTGCTGTTGGCAACACTGCCATGACTACAGGAAGTTGAGCGTGGGGGACTGGACATCGGTACACCCCGCCACCGCACGGGGGACCGGCTCCCACTCTCCCCCCCGCGTGGATACAAGAGAGGCATCCCATTATAATGATGCAGAATTTGTACACATGAACATAATGACAGGTCACGATCCACAGATCATTGAGCGAACCAGGGCCCAGGCGAGGGCCCTGACCAGCTGGACAGGAACCAGCAAGGAGACCCTGGTGAGCTGGACAGGAACCAGGCGGGAGACCCTGGTGAGCGGGACAGAAACCAGGCGGGGAGACCCTGGTGAGCAGGCTAGAGACAAAGACCAGGCGGGGGCTTTGATAAGCCAGCCACGTGCACATGTGTGTCAGTCACCCCTCACAATAGAAAAAAGGTGCGACTATCAAAGAAGATGTGGCATCTGGGGGGCACAAGGTTCATTAAAAACGGGTTTGGGACAGATACTCAAGAGGCCCTCGCAGCTGGAATATGGATTTGCTGAGATGTAATGTTTCACACATTTGTAGTTGGAACTTTCTGGAAAGGGAGGGCAAGGTAAAGCAGATAAAGACTGCCTGAGTAGAAGGAGAAAATGAGAACTTGGGTAACCAAAATCAGAGAGTAATGGTTTCAAAGTGAAAACCAAATCCAACATAGTAGGGGAAAACAGCTCAGGACAGAAGGACGTCAATCGACGGAAGCCGAGCACTCAGGAACACGTTATGGAATTCCAGCAAGAAACCCCATCCATCTATCTTCTAACCACTAACCCTGGCCTATGCAGCAGTGGAGGGACTGGGGTCTATCCCATTTACTATGCAAGTGCACTCAAGAGCTCTAGGATGCAACGGGATGGGATGGAACGCACCCAGGTGAACGCAGAGGCTTCCGGAAACCACGTGATGGGATCTCGGTGATCTGTGCCATCAGCTCCACTCGCTCAATGGACAGCGGATAAGATGGTGCCACGGACAGCTAGGAATTAGCCTGGGAATTAGCGTGTTTTACCCCCAGGACCAGATGTCTGTCTGTTTACTGAGGGGCCTGCTGGGGAAATTGATAAACTGGCCCCACACTCGGCCAAAGGGTCCCTCACCCAGACACTAATTACTTATCCTTCAAATCCTCTTTTAATGAGGTTTGAAGAGCACGGAGTAGCTTCTCCCAATACCCTTTTACCAAGGTAACAAACACGCGCCACTGGTGTGATTAGAGTCTCCATTTCACTGTGGAAACCACCGAAGTATGGTATCTATGCTGCATTTATTAGTAACCCACAAACCTCTTCACTGGCAGAAGAACACAAGTCTCAAATCTTCCAATTTCTTGGCTCAAAATCAAACCGAGGTCATTTCCTGTGACACCTCGGCCAATAGGAAACCAGAGGTTAACTAAAACCGGCCCGATCTCCTACATTATCTGTTATCACACAACCACCGTGTTGCCATTGAAAGACAGAGTGGGGAAACTTGAAAATGCACGTTTTATAAACTCAAGCTAACGTTTCCTGAACAGATTCCAGTTTTGTTTCCTCAGTCTGGGAGATAAACGTGTTGCTCAATATCTAACTTCCACCCTCTTGGTGGCAGATGTGAGGAGACACCTATGGCCTGCCATCGTGGCATAAACAAGTTTCCTAAACATGGAACATTTCTCACAGCCACACAGCAAGGGAAAGTCACACTTTGGCACGGAAGACGCTACAGAGGAGTAGGGTGAGATCAAAACCACGCGGAAACCACCCTTTGAAGTCACGCCACTGGGCCAAAGCGTCAATTACACAGAGCACTGTACATCAACACACTGTACGTAGCTTACTAGACAAATGCAGTGTCAGCCTGAGAAGATAAAGACAGAAAAGACATTGTAAGTTCTGGAACTTATTGTAAAATTCTGGGGATAGTACCTGTATTCAGGAACAGTGTTAATGCTGAGCTTTTATTGGTTGGTTACTTATTGGTATCTGGTGACGGGCGAGAGTCTGCAGGGTCTGCTGAAGACCCTGTCTGTTTCTTGGATCGATCTCTATTTGCCCCCTTCCATGTGCTTGCTGCTTGACAGCCACACAATAAACCAATCAGGAAGCAGGAGGGGGGAGGTGCTTCAACCAGACAGAAGAGGCTCTCATTCTGCGGCGGAGAACTGAGAGGCCTTTGATGGGCCCCCGGGACCGGCAGCCTGCTAGAGAAGGGGCCATTCATGTCTCCCAAGGGCCACTTCTCCAGTGAGGATGGGGTGGTGGGGGGGGGGGACATCCCTGAACCACTTTATCCCAGCCAGACGTTTCCATGGACACGGCTTCCCAGCCAAGGCAGAGCAGCAAACCGGGGAAGGGGCTGGGTTGGGCTGCCGCAGACCACGGAGGGAGCCGGGGGAGTGGGCCGGACAGGACGGGGGGTTCTTAAGGCACACCGATTTGAGAGGGCCAGGACAGACAGCTGCAGAGACAGGCTGTGTGCATGGTGGGGGGGGGCAGAGTGGAGGAACAGCTGCAGGATGTGTGCCGGAGAAAGCCAAGTGCACAATGGAGGGAAACGCACTAAGATGCCCCTGGCGGGCGGGTCGAGGAGCCCGGAGACCCGCTCGCCGAAAGTCCCAATCTACCTAACTAGTCCTGAGACCACGCCCCCACTTCCTGTACAAACAAACATGGGGACCAGGGCTAACTGGAGTATTTCCTAGGGTACACAGCTTCACCACAGCTCCATGCGGATAAATAAACTGCGTGTTTCTGGAGAGAGGTGGGGGAAGAAAACAAAAAAAAAAAAAATGCCCTGCAAATGTAGCCTCGTCAGCAGCTCCGAGCGGCAAGCGTGACACTTGCACAGACTGAAGCAGCGATTCACTTCCCCTCTCTGTCCCTATTTGGACAGGGGAGCCTGGACCTTTCCTGCAGGCTGACCAGGTCTTTGCTGCAAGGAGAATCTGTGTGTGCCAACCTCATTGGCTCATATGTGTCACATGGAATGTATGGGCCAATCAAAAAGAAGAGTTATGTCCCTTACGACAAAAGAACTGCATGTACTCCTTACATGCATTTATGCAGTATCTCTCTAAGTATTGACTCAACATCTAACAGATCACACATTACTCTCTGGTAAACTGCCATGTGGGGGCTGGCAGTGATTGAACAGCTGATTTTAATTCTTTTCCATTTGCTTAAAAATGCAGCATGTATAATGTATGATTCCTACTATCATTGAATATATTCACCTGCTACAATAATTTCTATGACATACATCCCCGTGTTTCTTCTTCAGCTACTACAGTCAGGCCGTTGCAAGTTTTTGCAGTGTCTTTGTGTTTTTCAAAGTGGCCCTGAACACTGACACTCAAGCAAAGACCTGAATACTTTCTCCCATGCCTGACTTGCCATGTTCAGTTGCCGAGTTCCTACACATAGCATCCTGACTGCCATTGTTCAATTGAGCATGGCTTCAGAGATGAATTGATTAACAAATTCCTCCTCTGTTTGGATAGGGGACTGAGAGAAAGAGAAGATGTAACTCAGTGTTCGGTCATTCTGTCTGCTTTTAGAAGACAGTCGCAGAAATGTGAAATGTGATACAGAACTTCGCTCCTGGTTGCAATGAGATCTTTATCTACCAGTTGTCTAACTTTATATGTCACAAGCCAATTACAGTAGATCTTTGTCTTCTTCAGATATCAGAAGTACAGATTAATATAAATTTAGCTTAATTTTTTCTTCCCCCCTACTACAATGGTGAGCAGGAGTTTTGCATTTAAACACTGTGCAATAGAAAATCAAATGCAACATGCATATTGATTATGCCAGTGAGCAACTGTACAGCAACGACACGCAAAAAGACAAAAAGAACGTAACAGTGTCCCAGCCTGCTCACCCTTCACTAGGGAAGACGTTAGGAGAGACCTACAGCCCATCCTTCTTTCTGATTGGCTTATGACTTACTTGAAGATTGGGTGTAACTATAGCATAATGAGGCCACAGAACCTTCCTCTTGGGGCTAACGTGCAACCCCTCCGCCCCAGGGAACTGGGAAATTCACAGATGTCCAGAACTGAGCCGGAAGTACAATGACATCATCTTGCATTTCGGGGTACCAGCTGGAGTATGATTAGGAGGCTGGTCTCCAAAACTCCCCCACATGTACCTGCCCCCCACCCCCACCCATCCCCCCTCCAGGGAGGTCCTCATGCTAGAAAAGAACCAAACCTGCTTTTATTTCCTCTTCAATGTTAACTTGATTAATGGGTATTCCTGCATGCGTTATTGTATCAGAAGCATTTCAGTCCATATAAGACCTACCACCTTCAGTTCCACAGTATCCTCTTCTATTGATAAGTTCTGCATGTGCCAAAATTCAACATAAGTGACACTTATGACACATTTCTCATACATTTTCAACCAGTCATCTAGTTAAAAAAAAACGTCCCTAATTGGACTTTACATGATGTCACAGTCGGTAAAAACTTTCTGGATGCAAATTCGGTGTTTACCAAGTAATGAAGGGCCGTGTTCTCTGAAGGTAGAGCATTTATTTTGAATAAAAAGAGGATCTGGTTAACCACAGAACACCTTACTTTCTCCATCTGAAACACCGCTCTCCCTTTTAATGCGATACCTCACTATCAGATAAAAGCTTGTGACTAGAATACAGAATTACAGTATGTGTGCCTCCGGTGAGAGTCATCTTTACGGATTTTCCTGACTTTTTTCCTGAGGTGAGGTACTATTTCATTATTTATCACTTTCCCAAAAATAACGTCATAGTAATGTACTCTTTTTGAGGGTGCTGCTTAACCGTAATTCTAATTACTGAGTATCTTACTACTATTGCTGCGTAGTTGCACGAGTGGTCAACTATGTGCAAAATAAATATTTTAATAAATGTCCTTGGACAACGTTAGTGTGTTCCTTCAGCTCTATTATTCGGTAATGTGAGACATTAATATCATTAATCGCAAATAACTTTGGCTTAACAGTTTTAGACAATCTAGTTATGTACTTGTGGGCATTTTCTTGCCTCTCATTACACGAATTACATGACAAACAATGTAACAACAAGGCAAGCAGATAAGCTAATTATTAATGAATATGTCAAAGTAAAAAAACAATATTTAAATTCCCGAAATTTGAAAACAAACTGGTTCGATACAGCCATGGAAAAAGATAGAAAACATAATTGGTTTGAAATTGTACTATACATTTCTATAACAAATCCCTTTCAAGACCATTAAGACATCGTGTTTCTTGTTGTATGGGTTTGAGTGGCTGCAAACAGTGAAACAAACAAACAAAAAAAGAAAATACTGCAAAGGATATGTGACAGGTCTAATTTCCAAGGGTGGTGGATTCAAGGCTGACAGCCAGGATCACCGGATCAAGCGGCACAGACACGTATTTAGGCACAGCACTCACCGGACAGTTCGTCTGGTTCCAGCCCAGTTTCGGTGTCTAGCCCGCAGATAACGAAGTAATCTGCGAATCTGCAAGAGCTGGAGCTGAAGCCGGTGGTCATTTTGAGAGTGGTCCAGTGCTCCCCCTTGTCCTCGCCCTTTCAAATGGGTACATATCAGGGGATCGGGAAATAATTTCGGGCTTTCATCACGAGTGCGGTTCCGAGCCCCAAAAGCAATTCAGAGAGCGACAAGAAAAAGACAGCGAACTGCATTGCTGGTCTCTCCCACACAGCTGTTTTCATCTGCCAGAATTCCTCCTATAATCAAAGCAGCCTCCCGTGTTTCACGGGCTGCATTGCGCCTGCGCGACGAGCTGAGTCGGGGGATTACGTCATGCGTTTAACTCTTCGGCCACAGCGATGCGCTCCGTGACTTACGGGTGGTGCCGAATGAAGACCCCCTGTTAAATCGATGCCCTTCCGTACTAATGAGCACGAACTATGTAGCCATCCATCTTCTTGGAAAATGGAACCTATCCCACAAGCCTGGGGTACACCATGAACGGGATGCCAAAACAGAACAAATACGAATAATAAATACGAAAAGTTGGCTATCGTAAACAGCAGCAGGGAATATTATTATTGTAATCATCATCATCATCATCATCATCATCAGGCGTTTTGGTCAACCCCTACATAATAGTTCAAATTTAAAAATCTAGTCAAAAAAACAGGTTCATGATATATAAAGATCGATACACACACACACAATTCAATGCAAAAAGATACAAGTAATTGGAGTTAATTACAAAAGTTTAAGGAATTCACAAGAACAGCCGTGTGTTGATTACTATTACGAAACCGACATGCTTCAGTTGCGCCTGGTGCTGTTACATAATTTAACCCAAAAATACAACACTGAACGTTTGAGACTGTGATAGGCATAACTTTAATTCGCTTGCCACCTAGCGTCTCAAATATGAAGTGCAGCAACTGGTCGGAAAAATACAGGCCTACTGAGAATTTTGTTAGGGATGCCAGTCTAGCCTAGTACAGCACAAACAAGAGCGTTAACATTTTTTATTTAATTTGTTTAATAAAAAATTAAGGTGTCTTACGGATAGGCAACATTCTTACCATACTGCAATAATTTTTTAATGCAATACTGTGATAATACATTGAAATGGAATGTCACATTTTTTTCTTGCACATGGTGATCTGACAAGGGAAAATGGAAGACATTATCACTTTCTAAATGATAAAAAGGAGAAGCATAGAAAAGAAAAATGCAACAATGCTAATGAAATACTACAGCCACTGTTTAGGGCTTAATTGACTTAAATAAAATGGAGACTTTTGAATGCGCAACCATTACTGGTAAAGAAAAACATTTTTAAATGATATTATAAAGGGGTGTTACACATAATATAATCCTAAAGCTTCTGCACTGAAGAACAAAACACAAGTGAAGTTACTGTGTTACAAAGGAATCAGAATATAAATCAAAAGGAAAAACATTTCAGCTACGAATTAACAAGATCGAGATAATACTTATTGTTCATGAAAAAATACAAATGTTTTATTCTTTAAATTTGAAAACTAAAAGTAAATGGTAATAGCAGGTTTTGGTGTGGACAAAGAAAGACTGTCCTTCATTGACTATGAGGACGAGGAGAGTCCCGTTTGCGGAGCAGCAGCCGGAGCTCTAAAAGGCTGATGGGTGAAAATCCAACAGCATCTTGAGAAACGCTCGAGTCGACAGACGGGGAAAGGAGAGAAAGGGCGAAAGTACCAGTGGCAAAAGACATGGAGATTCAGCCGCTTCAAAGGAGAGCTTCCAAACTGCTTATGGTTGCAGGGTTTGGGCTGGGTGAAGCAGTGAGGTGAAGACAGCCTACTCCAGCTTCTGCTGAAGCTTCTTCTGGAAGCAGACGGGCAGGATGGAAAGCACAGCTAGTACCCCGAGCACAGCTAGAGAGTTCCAGGACACGGCCTCCCCGGCTGTGGTCAGCTTGTATAGGGTGGTGCCGGCATTGATCGCCACAAAGGATGGAGGGGCTACTCCTAAAAGATGGATGAGGAACAGGTCTTCACCACAAACTTTGGATACAGGCAAGTTTACATAAAGTGGAAGTCATGACAGATCGCCTTCCTTCACCAAGGTCAACTGCATAACTGCAGCAGCAGGTCAGGCCATTTGGACTGTGATGCTGAAGTATCACCCACTGCATGACTGCACTAAGGTTCTCATCCCTGTAAATCAGTGCATGCTCCTTACCCTCCCTCCTATTTAAATTCAGCTCCCTTTGATGGAAGAGCAAACCCATGAACTGGGCACTAAATTAAAAAAAGCAAAATTACAGAAGCTGACACCCACTTTGGGCCGAACCTAGAAACAGCCCTGGATAACCTAGAAATGCTTTCAAACAGCAATCATATGCTATCAAGTACTTACCAAAGAAGGTCCCTATGAAGAAGATACCTAGGGGAACATTGATGACTGGAGAAGTGATGTTAATAAACCAGTTGGGAAGAAAGGGTGTGATTCGGAGGAAGATTATGTAATTAATCAGATGTTCTCTGTGCTTGTCCACCTGCAAATAAATGAAGATCGCAATTAGTACAGTTTGGAAGGACATAATCTTCAAAAGATTTGACTGAATATCAAAGGAGGTGAGCACTGGAAATAGTGGCCTGTAAACTGGAATATCAAGGCTAAAACTACACTTCAGTACCATTCAGGCTACTATTCCAGTCAACTAAAGCCCCCAGGGCAGAATAATTTTAATTATTTGGAGGGCAGTATATGGTGTGTTACCAAACATGTCCTGCTCTTCAAGACAATTCACCACAGGTTCATTCCCCACTGGTGAGCAAAATCTCTCAAACATCTGCTTAGTTGACTCGTTCATTCATGTCATATCCGTAGAAGGGGCAATAGCCATTTAAGTCGCATAAAAATGCTTAGGATTGATTATTATGTAGCTTTCTCACCACCCTGAGACAAAACAGCAAAGCCTTACCTGCTGAGACCATTTCTGAGCTTTCTCAGTCAGGTACTTATGCACGACCGGCCTTCCCACCAAGTACGACAGCATGTAGCAAAAGGAAGCTCCCAGCCCAGAACACTGCAGGGGGAGAGGGAGCCATCACGGGACAAACACTAGCTGAGCGAGTCCGTCACACTGCTTTACCAATTACACGCTCAAAACAGTCTACTATACGCATCCATCACAAGATCGGTCAAGTCCAACCGATCAGCCAACCAGCGCAATATGAAGCCATTCCTATGCCAACATGTGGCAACGTGAGGCAGGTATCCACTCCGAGTTTAAATCACATGAAGACAAGCAGTGGCATGTTTTTATGAACCGATACAAGAATGAATGAACAGTCGTCTTACCAGGCAGACCAGAAAGAGGGCCAGGGGGAAGGGGTAGAGGTAGCCGGAGAGGATGCTGAGGAAGATGGACCCGGGGATGGCAAAGGTTTGAAGGCTAGGGTACCATAGCTAAGGTCCGTGATGCAATGTGACGTCAATACAAACAGGAACAGATACACAGTGAGAGTAATAGAAATAAACCCAAGAAGAACTCAACTGAAACCACACCTTTGGGGGTTTAGAAGCGCTTGAAGATAAAGGGGCTTAAACTACCACATTCTGAACAATAGAGGAGATAAGTCTACACGTTATCATCAATGCCTTTAGCTTTAAATACTACTGACAAATGATACCTTCAAGACCAGACCAACTATGACAACATGCTCCCATGTTATGTGCACTCAGGTGCAGCAAGCAGAATTCCACACCAGGGCTCCCATTATTCCACCAACATTCCCAGATACCCAATGCAGGTTTGTAGCCACCGGTAAAGCAAACTGCTCTACCTCGGTCCCGTCTTTCCTAACGACATCGCCAATACATCCGGGATGCATGGGGCCCGGGATGCATGGGGCCCTAACTCCCACAGGGCTGCACTTGCCAGGAATGTGGCTGGCTGGCTGTAGGCCGCCTTCTACGAGACCAACAGAGGTGCAACTGCAAGAGAATCAATGGACAATACGGAATGACAGATATTGTTAATAAGTAACTTATTATTATATAATTATAATGATCTGTGATGGACTGCCCCCCATCCTGGGTTGTTCCCCGCCCGTGCTCGTAGCTTCTGGGATAGGTTCCGGACCCAGAAGGATAAGCGGTTTGGAAAATGGATGGTCATTATTATTATAACAATTACACAATTATTATTATCAACACTTTATCGATCCCCATTGGGAAATTCTCTTTACGCCTCCCCCAACTTGCTATCTGTCAGTGAGAGCAAGCCGGCTGTGAAGGGCAGCCACCCATAGCAGCGCCCAGGGAGCTGGGGGGGGGTTAAGGGCCCATAGATATGCAGAGGCTGGGTTTGACCTGGTTACCTCAGGTACAGAGGCTTAGCCCACTGAGCCACACCCCCATCATAATCTTACATGCCTTTAATAACCACAGCCAAGAGCATAAACCCTTAAGCCTAACTGATCCAGGGAAGCTGGCTGACCCTCCTCTCTGAGCCTCATTGTATGTCACACAATAGCGATGTGTCATCTGCGGAGTTTCACTGAAACTTCCGCTACAGTGATGATGACTATAACTATTCAGATCACCAGGAAATCTACCTGCTACAGACCCTGCCAACAGCCCGACATCACACAATGCATCAAGTCTAAATGGAGGCTTCCAATAGCCGAATGTGACCCGAATTTGCATGACTGTGTATAGAACCATCACACACACACACACACACACACACACACACACACACACACACACACACATTTCTGTTAAGCTTTCCCTTCCGCAGAATATGAAAAACAACCTAGTATTAAAGTGGAACCAGTGCCATAACTGACAGGTGTTAAAATGACAAAATGCAAGTTTTGTTTGACAAAGAAAAACAGGAAGAAAAAAAAAAGCAGCGAGAACTGCATAAGATGTGTGCCAGCTGTACCAGCTTTGCCCTGATGAGCAATGCCAACGATAAAAGTACCTACTCACCCTAAAAATACACATCTGAATGGCAGAAGCCCTGCGCTTACAGTGGAAACAGCCCAGGTGGTGCCCTGCTACGGCTGGAACACCATATCGCCGATCAGCACTTCCTGCCATGGATGCTCACACCCACAAACAGGTCGCTCACAGGAACCCAGTTACCTGCCAATGCCCCCGTTTCAATCACTACCCAAAGGATACAAGATGTATGTGGCGAAATAAGCGATGAGCACTTGGGTGTAATAAGTGTCCTTGTATTTGGACAGCACTGTGCCCAAGGCCTTGGCATCGTCCATGTCTTTGGGGATCTTCATCTTTTCTCGCTCGTCTCTGTGCGAGTAACAGGTTAAAAACAGATAGGCCTGCTTTAGTACTATTACTGTGTCACTACAACACATAACAACAAAACAACCCCATAAAGTGGTCATCAGACCATGGTACCCAAGTGTGCTGTAAAGGTCTCATTTAAAATTTAGGGGACAATTTAGTACAATTATAATTACATTTAAATTATTTGAGATATATATTCTGTAGACAGCTTTTCAACAGTGAAGGAAAAGTGGCAAAAAATGTCCAAAATCTCAAGACCAACTGTGACTTAAACAAAAGGTTACAGCACATGGTTCATTTAAACTGGTGGTGGGCAATCTTATCTGCAAAGGGCCGGTGTGTATGCAGGTTTTTGGGATAACTTGTAGGTCAGCTGTTCAAACCCAGGTGTGAGGACTCTTCAGCCGATCAGTCCTCTAATTAGTGATCTAATTAGGGAATTTCAGTGAAAACCTGCATACACACCGGCTGATAAGATTGCCCACCACTGATTTAAACAGTTTATGGAGAACAACAATCACAAACTGAACAAAATCAGATCACTACCATACGGTATGCAACTGATGCAAACAGATGTGCATCTGACGACATTAGTATTAAAATGCCAGGAGGAGACTTACTCACTGAGCTCTGGGAAATTCTGGTACACTAGATACATGACGGAGGCAGCGCAGGTGAAGATGAAGAGCAGAATAAGGAGGGACATGCGAGCAGAGCCTCCTTTAGAGGATACTGGCCCTTTGGAAAACACATGCGTCTGGGTCATAATCCGTTTGATAAATTATCATTTGCAGATACGCACATAGACACAAATGAGCGTACATTTTTAAACAATATGACACATTAGGTGAGAGGACAGTGTGTGTAGCTAGAGACGTGGACTTGGGACCACGTTGCTCAACGTTTATTACTCAAAAAAGGATCCGGTAGTTATAAAAGTAGAAAATGCAAAACCAGTTCGTCGCGGTACGAAATGCAACTACATACTAATGATACTGTAGGGTAGCAGAAATGCAGTATCTTTTAATCGATTGTTTCTCTGGCTTTCGTATAGTGTTTGTCAGACTGTAATATAATTATTAAACTTACATTTTAATAGGACGTTTTAGGTGAAGTCTCATTTTTGATCCAAATATAAAGAAAAAACGAATATTTACCCGAATGTAGACATTGACGAATCATCCACTAATTCAACTACACAAAACGGATCGTGAAGGAAAATAAGCAAAACGGTTAAAACGATGCAATTTTTTAGCAAGAACTGAATGCAACGCGAAGCCGCATCCTTGGGCTGAAGTCAAGGTTGCGTGCATCAGTGCCAAATACAGAAAGCAACTACTTCGCAATATCCTGTGGTTTACATGCATGACTACCCAGCTAAGACTAACTAGTTAAAATAATTAAAACAACGTGTATATTACTGATTATAGGAGCTATACGAAATCAATTAAAAGCTTAATAAAGGCTCAGTTTGATTTGGAGCACGATGCATTAATCAGGCACATACCGAAAATTTGAAATAAGCAGTCAAATTAAATATTTATCCTGTTAACTTCTAAGACAGCTGTATCTGTGCAAACCTTTCATAGAATCGCCCCCTGGCTTCGTTTCCTTCTCCGAGAGCTTTTCTGTCGTATCGACGTCCGCCTCTTGCTTTCCTCTCCGCTTCTTAGCCATTTTCGCGTGTTTTTGCCGCCGAGGTCTCCTCTCAGGCGGACGGCCACCCGTCACGAAACAGCAGATCGCAGCGAGGTTTAAGGGCGTCCTTTTCTGCACCGGCTCCGTGACCCTTCACCCCAGACGTGTACCAAGCGGACAGCGAACGATCGGCGGCAGTCTGTCACTGGTAGGCGGTGCTGGCGGCCCGGCGGCCACCTGAGGCGCCGCCCCCTTCCTACCACAGGCCTGGAGCCGCATGGCCCTAAACGAGCATAAATAATTATAGTTATATTTGAACAAAAAGTCGCTTTTAACAACGTAAAAATATACGCTCCGAGACCGATTTTTAGCAGTCACATTAATATATATATATAGTATACTGCTTAAATATTTTGACGTAAAGCTGGATCGATCACTTATGAATATAATTTTAAAAGTGCTACATTTGTGTACAAACTATTTGTAAGTATTTTTGTTAGCGGGTGTAATTTCAGGCTAACTGTTCTATGTTATTAAGAGTCATTCATTTATTACACTTAATCATTTTTGAGGAAAAATCACACACGACAGTTAAATTGACAAACTGTGTAAATCCGTGTTAATATTACACAGATCCGTAATGCCAGAATATAAATTTAATATAGCAATAATAATATAAATATCATTACTAAAACACGCAAATGATCGGAATATTTACTAATTTAAAATTCTGGTGTAGAATTATTAGAAGTAGAATTTGACATACTTTGTTTCTATGACTCTTCGGCTTACTTTTATAATGGTTTCATGTGTAATACAGGTTCATATACAATGAAAGTATTTTACTGTTGCCTAAATTTGCAAGTGCGCATGGGGATGACGCATTGCTGTTATTCCCGTCTGTATGCGCTTATTGTTTAGGACTACATCTCCCGGAGCCCCGGGCAGCGGTGGCGGAAGTGTCGCGCGATGCTGATCTATCCGGGTACTCAGTTCAGCTCTTCCTTTCGCGCCGGCAGCTGGGCTTCGCCGCGTCCATGTGCGCATCGACTGGGACAGCATAGTTCGCCGAATCAACCGAAACCGAGCCGCTACACACTCTAGACATGGATCCCAACTCCCTTATCGAGGCCCTTCGGGGAACCATGGACCCGAGCTTGCGGGAGGCTGCGGAGAGGCAGCTGAATGAGGTACGGATTTGGTTTGGGTGAATCGGGCCTCACGGAAGGAATAGTATGGAGCCTCGCTTGTGCTGAGGTATGGGGGGGTGAAGATGTCTTGCACCGATCAGATGTCAAAATTGCCATTTAAACGCTTTCGAAATGTTTAATAAATACCAAAGTATTCAGCATGCTAGTCATTCACGCGTTTATTTGCGCTTGGAGTTGATGTAGCGATCGCGTCAGAGGCCGTCACTGAACTAGCTAGCGTGTTAGCCCAATGTGCCAGCTAGCGCCCGAAAACGTGGAGCTGTCGCTCTGCTTCGCTAGCCGGCGAGGAAGCGCGGATAGCCGGCTGGCCGTTTAGTATGGGTCAAGAGAACCGCCGGGGACACTTTTTTTTTTTGCTTTATTTTGACCGGTCTTACAACCGGCGGAAGAGTCGCAGTCGCGTAGGCAGATAAGGACTTAGTGAGTTGGTGTAAGTTTGTCAGGCGGATTTCTGTGCTGAAATAAGTTTTCGGAGTCCCGAGTTTCTCACGTGTGCCGCGCACATTTATGCTGACTCACAATTCGCACGGATTTAAATACTGGTCCACTGTCGCCGGGACGTTAATGTCCACACATTCGGATGCAGGATCCGTCCACTGACTAACCGAAGGCTTGCGTTCAACCACTGACAATCGGGACCGATTATAATCACTCGCATCTTCTGATATCGCCTTAAACCTGGAGGGGACATGGATGTCTACATGGAAACACGTGGATCTAGTGGGACGTTTTTGTTTCACAGATGTGGTTACACTTCCCCCTCATCTCACAAGACCAGCCGTGGTTGGATTTGTCTGTGGGCACTTGTGGGCAGTTTATGAGCTGTTCTGGGAGTAGAAAAGTTGCCTTTGACGCTTTCTCACCGGGCACTGTACAGGGGACGCTCCCCGCCGCCTGCGGGCGTCATTCATGGGCGCATTGAAACGAGTTGGATGACTAATGAAGGCGCACATGCTGGCGAATGTGTAACTTAAAAAAAACCGTACGTTACTGTAAAAATGGCATCATCCCAGTGATGAATAGGAAGCCACTTATGGACATTCTTGTGCCTAGGTTAGTAAACTGATTTCCCCGCCATTTTAACACCTATAGCTTGTTTGTTTGCATTTCATATCCATTGTGACACACGCGCAAAATATTTAGGCGTGAGCATAATAGACATTAAGACTGAGGCATTGAATGCCCAATGCCCGCTGCTCAATACATAATGAAACTCTACTGGATTAGAATGATGGTATCCATCGCTTGTAAGACTGCGCCGTTGAGCTGTTTTTAGTTCTGCCCTGGATGTGACTCATTGTGTGGTATGCAGAGATGGATTTGAAGTGCGGTGATAACTGCAGAGAGTGGGGGAAATAGCCTGTTCTGGTTTTTAAAAAAAGAACTTTCTCACATAAAAGTAGCTCTTAAAGATGCCTCTCTGTTAATAGGAACATGGGTGTTAGAGATGTGTTTCTGTGCCTTTTGTGGGGAGGATATGGACCTTGCAGGCCTTTCTGGAGCTGGGGAGGAAGTGGAGTGCGTGCACGCAGGGGGAGCAGAGGAAGCTCGGTCAGGGGCTGAGTCAGGGAGCCGTGATTGATGCTGGCAGGGCTGCGCTCTCCAGTGTGGCTTCCAGGCGGCATGTGGCTCTGGCGCCTTTTGCTGATGCGTTCATGTGGGACGATTACGCTGCATTCCAGCGCTGTTAGCCGGCCAAAGGGCCCCCAGGGTCTTTCGAAACCACAGGCATCAGAAATACGTCCAGAGAAAGTAGCATTGTTTCATCTGTCTGCAGTACATTTTTTTAAAAAGTGGCACTTGAGGGAGTAGGAGCTGTAAGACATTGTCACCATTACGGAAAATCAAAATGACGCAACTTGAATATTGATTTCTTAATGCATGTCAGTTTTTTGGTTTAATTTCCATGTCAGCGCAGTGACACTGATTAGCATCTCTTCTATTTGGCGTCTTTGTCATTGGGTTTTGTCATCAGCGGAAATGTCCTTTTAAGAGGTGGCATTGTGTCAGACAGTCCTTGTAAGGACAGGCCGGAGTGAATTTTCCGGAGCGCCGTGGTGGTGAGGACCCCCCCAGCGCCTCCGTCAACCCCTGAAGTTCCAGAGACCCCCAGAATTGGTCTTTTTTTTTTTTTTTAATTGAGGGGGTGTGGCATGTGAGAGATGTCTGCCTTCTCGGGTTTGGAAGGAGGCTGGCAGCTCACTTGTGAAATCTCCTTGGCAAGATATTTCTCCACAAATAGTACAATATGTAAAGGGACATGGAGTGAAATCCCCTTTGTTTGTTTTAAACATGAGTTACTGGACAAAGCGGAACAAAAGCTAGCATGCAAGTGCCAGTTGTCTGAGGGTGGTGGTTTGTGGGGGGGTGGGGGAGCAGGGGGGAGGTGATGTCCCCGCTGCCATCTGCGTTGTCTCCAGCGGGCGGCTGACACGCAGTGCCCACGCGCTGCTTCCTGGGTCTGCTTCTTGGATGCTTGGGGGGGGGGCTGCTTTGCACTGGGGATGAGAGAAGCAGCGCATCCTCTGGCCCCCACCTCCACCAGGGAAGGTTTGTGGAACTCGGATTTCGCGCCGAAGAGATCCGCACCCTTTCGGTTCGTTTACCTTCGACCGATTCCGTTGTGATTCCTTTTGCATTTTATTTATCAAAGGCAGCATTCAAAAAAAAAAAAAAAGGAAGCTTAGCCATTTCCAGCAACTGACAGTTAAGTGCCTTGCCCTGGGACCCTACAGTGACATCACTCTGCTGACCCTGGGATTTCACATTTCTGGTCATGGGCCTTGACCCAGTAAGCCGCATGCTGATGCCTTTTTTGTTCATGTGAGTGTTTTGAAACTTAAAGATTTGACATCATAGTGTCCTGTTGGAGAATCCCTATGAAATAGCATGTTGGATTCATAGGTATCGGGGAGCACTTTGTACAGTCATTTGTCTATTAACATCATTTGAAGACAGCCCCAGCTCACCTGGACCTCCCACACTGCCTAATGTTTGTGCTCTGATTTCCATTCAGATATTTGCCAAAAGCGTGCTTGTGTAAGCATCTATCCAGCAGACATACTGTTCTTTTGTAGCACTGAGTCTGTGTTTTTTTTTCCTGCTTCCCCAGGGCCACAGTCAAGTGAGCTTTGTCTCCACGCTGCTGCAGGTCACTATGTCTGATCAGCTCGACCTGCCTGTCAGGCAAGCAGGTGAGCCTTGGCCGTCTGGGTGCTGGGCTTGTGGTGAGGGGTGGGGTGTGCTGGATTAGGATTTGTTAGGCTCTTTTCTTTGCTCCCCCCCCCCCCCCCCCCCCCCACCGCCACCGCCACCACCAACTGAGTCGGGAACCCCCAGGCTTCCAATGTTGTGATGTCAGGAGACTATTCTGGAAGTGCTGGGTGTGAAATGGACACTCCGCCATTCCTATAAACAACCCCATGACCACTGTGACCTCTCCTAGGTACCACCTGTCACTTTCTGCCTCTGACCTTGCTACCCCCTCTCCCAACACCCCCACAATGAGATGTTTGATGTCAAGTGAGAATCTTTCCCAGAAAGCCAAGAAGCCAGTTACATGGGAATTGGTTGTTCATTCAGATCAGGGGGCTTTAATGTATTGGAACTCCTTCTTCATGGTTTGTCCCATGTCAGAGTGTTTAGACTCTTCCTTTGGCCTTACAAAGGGAAGATTCAGCTGATGCGTAAAAGTATTTCATGCCTGTGTCCCCTATATGGTCATCTGCCCAAACGACTCAAAGAAATGTAAATGTGCTGAGGTCACACTGGGCTGAAATGACTTTTATCTGCCCCGTTTGAAACTTCTGTCATTCACATGCCGATTGACCTCCCCAACCCCCCCCCCTCTCATTAAGGGTGTTTTAGGTCCTGCATCACTTCGGTCAGCTGAAAAACATTGCGTAATTCCAGCTCGGTAAACAGAACGCCCTGTGCCAGAATGTTTTCCTGACTGCATAGATTTTTTTCCCCAGCCTCATTCTTGCACGATTCAGCGCCGGGTGCTTAGAGTCATGAGACCGACACACAAGCTTTAAGTGTGATTGGCTGCTCGGTGAAAATGACTAGGTTCTGTGTATCCACTGTCTTGGCAGATGCAGATTGTTTCCCTTTGAAGATGGGGTTTTCATTACAATTAGGGGTCTTCTCATTACACTAAAGACCCTGGACTGAGGTAATCAGTCCAGTAACAAACTGCAGGAAGACGCACAAATGGTGGCTAGATTTTTGCTGTGGAGGGTTAGATTAATCCTGCGTTCGATTTTCTCTCTGAGTCGGAAGTCAGATAAAAACGTCATGAAGAACATCACTTCCTGTGGGAAACGCCTCCTTTCCGATGTTGATGTCGGACAGAATTTTGTCTGTGATATCCCTGTGACGTCATTTCAACATGGCTGGCTTGCACACTCAACAGTAATTCAATTTTATAAATATTTAAAAATTAAATGTATTAATAGTTATAAATGTAATTGCACGTGGTCGATTTAGAGAGTGCCATATCATGACCGTAAACAGTATCCTAGCATGCAATATCAAATTTTTACCAGACTTGTTAGTGTCTTTTGTTTGTTTGTAGTTTGTTTGCCTCTCAAAAAGAATATCACTATGGATCTACTAAGATATTACAAAGCTTTTA